CCACACAAAGGATACAGTCGCCCAGAGAAACGTGGTCCTTTAAGATCGTGTACCTGCGGGACAGACACCTTTCAGACAGACACCCAAGGCGGGCGGTCTTCACCCTGGAGGCAAGCGCGCCCCGGCCCGGACCCCCGGCCTGGCCCCCGCGCCCCCGCACCCCCGCTCGGCCGCCGCGCTCACCACTTCTTCAGCACGATCTTGTTCCAACGGGTCCCCGTCTGGGCGGCGATCAGCTTCTTCAGGTCCCCGATGGTGTCATCGGTGCTGGCGCCCAGGAGTTAAGGGAAACGGTAGGACGGTAGGACGCGGGGCGCTGCGGGGCTAGATGCACTCACAGCGCCCCGCCTCCCCCGGTCGTACCACGGACCCCCCCTCCCCCGTCCGCAGCACGGACCGCCCCCCCCCGCCCCCCGGCCCACTGTCTCTCCGCCGCCCGTGGATACTTGCACTTCACGCGGACCTTCTTCCCCAGACGGTCGTTGCAAACCACCTCGATCATCCTGTCGGAGCCACACAGGGCGGGGGTTGGGGGCAGCAGTCAGCACGTTAACGGCCCCCCACACCCCAAGACCTCAGCTTGAAACTTACGCTCACTTCCCACCCCCTCTGACCCGAGTCCTCCGGGGCCCCAAGTTCCGCGTCCCGGGACCGCGGAGCCCAGGCGCCGCGCCGCCCCCTTAGGCCCTAGGACCGTCGATGGCCGGACCCCGTCAGCTTTCTCTAACTCGGGGCCGCCCCACCCGACCCCTCACCTCGAATCGCCTGGAACCAGCCGACGCCACAACCTCGTCGCTCGCCAGCGGAGCGGGGGCCGGAGTCTGCGCTGGGAACCGGAAGCGGAAGTGCGCAGCCTGCAGCGCCCGCCCCTTCCTCGGGGCCTGGTAACCCCGGTGGCTTGCAGTGCGGGCCTCAGGCGCTCCGGACCTGGCAGGGGACCCGGTAAGGGCTCCGGACCCGGCAGGACACCTTGCGGTTGGTGCGCGGACCCAGTGGGGGTCCCGCCCCGTGGAGGGAGAGTCAGAGGTCAGGGGCCGGGGCCAGCTCGTTGGTTGAGGCGCCATTGCTGTGGGGAGACACCGTCAGTTGGTGGGGACCCTAGAGGGGCCCGGGTGACAGCGGGGAGGGGTAGGTGACCTGCCGCTGCTGAGCCCGACGGAGCCTCTCACTGCAGCTACGGGGAGCCGGTGGGCCCTGCAGCCATCCCGGGGCCCCTGCCTTCATCCAGGGCTGGGCCTTCCCTCTGGCTATTGCTCTGCCCCTGGGGACACCTGCGTGCAGACTATCCTGGATAATAAAACCTTAATATGCAAACGAAGGACTGGTTCCTATAACGCGCACTGACCACCAGGGGGCAGACGCTCAAAGCGCGAGCGGCCTCTCAATGCGGCGCCCCTCCCTGGTGGTCAGGGGGCGCGCTGCTCAGCCAGAAGCCGGCAGGCGACATCCCCCAGGGTCCCGACTGTAAGGGGAGCTGCTGGGCTGAGGACCCACCCCTCCCCCCGCCTGCAGTGCACGACTGTCCGGCACCGGGCCTCTAGTAGACAATAAAGAGGGAACCGCCTGATCCTGGCCTGGGTGCCACCACTTATTAGAATGGACTTTGAGCGCTAACCGGCCACATCAGCAAAGAAGCTGGAAACAGCACATGCAAAATCTTCCAGGCCTTTGTCTTAAAGAAAGGTCGCTCCCGCTCTGAGATCTTAAACTTGCCCTGTAGCCCCTGTACTGCAGGGCCGATGAGACAGGGGGCACCCCTCCCTAAATTCTGTGGATGAAAAATGTAATCTCGCAGGATGCTCTGATCATAAATTCCAAACTGGGCGGTCATGGTGGGTAGTCTCGTCCCAGGCATATGATGTTTTTGTAAAATTAAATTGGCTTTAAGCAAGCGCTGTCCATTGTTTCTGTGCACCTAGATTATCACCTTTGTAATAAGCTTCGCCCCCAGCGAGAGAGCACGTAATCTTGTTAACTGTCAGGTAGTCCAATCCCCGCCTTGCTTTCTCGCATCTGCGTGTAGGTTCCCTCCTTAATTTCAAATGCATAAAAGCTGCAAAACTGTTATTCTCTGGAGCAGGGGTCCTCAAACTACGGCCACATGCAAATACAAATATTGTATTTGTTCCCGTTTTGTTTTTTTACTTCAAAATAAGATATGTGCGGTGTGCATAGGAATTTGTTCATAGTTTTTTTTAAAACTATAGTCCGGCCCTCCAACGGTCTGAGGGACAGTGAACTGGCCCCCTGTTTAAAAAGTTTGAGGACCCCTGCTCTGGAGCATTTCAGATCTTGCCTCCCAGCACAGATCATCAGTTTGGCTCAGATAAACTCTTAGAAAAATTCTCTACAGGTTTGGATGTTTCTTACGTTGACACCACCAGAAGGAATTGCTGAGGCTAAATTTTCTTTGTTGGATTTTTAGTATTTTCCCAGATTATCTACAATGAACATATGTTACTTTTGTAATTAGGGGTGGGGGTGGGGGAGTAAATGTTTTTTTTTTTAAAGTTCTAATTTCTCAATGTGTGATCAAAGATAGCTCGAGCACAGGATCATGATGCTGAGTTATGGGCTGGGGGAGAATTAAAAGGGGAGGAAAAGAAAGTCTGGGATTGCTGGGGGCTGGGCTCCATGGGGAGTGGTGAGGATCCTGGGGTGCGGGCTGCGGGCTGCCAGCTCCAGGTGGGCTAATGGGAAGTCCCAGGCCTAGGCTGCCAGGGCTACAGACACTTCGCTGAACCCAGGTGAGAGGGGGAGGAGCTTCAGCAGACAGGACACCACACCTTCGTGCCCATCCCACACTCTGGTAATTATAATTGGGGCTTCCCATGTAGGGGCTCAGTGACTGCCCACTGCAGGGCCAGGGCAGCCCCCGCCCCCTGTCTGGGAGGCAGTAGGATCTGCAGCCAGATTTGCTCCTTGCGGGGGAGGTAGGTGCTTCCCAGGAAGGAGAGTTCCAGGTCATGACGCCAGGAGCAAGCTGGGCAGCCCCCCTCTGCTCCCTTGTTTCCCGGGTTTCCGACCCACAGGAAGGGGCTTGGATGCCGGGATCCTCTCCCTTCACTCTGCAGGCAGGGCAGCAGATGGTTCTTAGGAACCTCCTGTAACTGCGAGAGCAGGGACACCTGGGTTCTGCTGAACTTCAAGGCCACCCCCCACCCAGGGCTCACCACAGGGTGAATAATCTTAGGGGTCAAGGGAGTCGCTCAGGGGTCCCTTTCCCCGATATCTCAGTGTGTCAGCAGGCCTTGGGGATACAGCAGTGACCAAGGTTGTCCTGCCACCTCAGAGTTCAGTCCGATAGGGGAAGAGGACAAGTGAAAAGACAAATGAAGAGGTCCTGGCAACGCATTGACAGGTGCGGTGAGGGGGCCCAGGAGGCATCGCCCCTGCATGGTGGTGTGGGTTTTCCAGGGGAGATGGAGGCCGTGGAACATTGTGACAGAGGCCCACGCCCTGGCATCAGGAAGATCTGGGCTGCGGTCCTGGGTTCTGCCGAGTGACTTGACCTCTGCGCAATCCTTTTGACCTTTTTTTTCCCCCCAATCTTTAATTTCTTTACTGATTAAGGTATTACATGTGTCCCCCAACAATCCTTTTGATCTTTTCTCAAAGTCACAAGATGGCTGCCAGAGCGGGAAGCATTGTTTTCCGTGCTCTTGTCTGAGGAAAAATATCAAAGGGTTTGATTTATTAATAAACATTTGGAATTTATGTTTTTTAAAGGTAATACTGGCACCTAGTAAAAATTCAAGTACAAAAGTATATATACAGCACATAAAGTCTGCTTACCCTTTCCCCAGCCCCTCCCCAGGAACAACTATCCTTAAAAGTTTCCATTTTCTAAAGATACTCTCTGCATCTTCAAATGTGTTAACATGTTTCAAAAGAGACAGGGACCCTTTGAGTTATGTCAAAGGGCAGAAACTAATGACTTAGGTATTTTTTTTAAATTGATTTCAGAGAGGAAGGGAGAGGGAGAGAGATGGAAACATCAATGATGAGGAAGAATCATTGATCGGCTGCCACCTGCACACCCCCCTACGGGCGATGGAGCCTGCAATCTGGGCATGTGCCCTTGACTGGAATAGAACCTGGGACCCTTCACTCTGCAGACCGACGCTCTGTCCACAGAGCCAAACCAGCTAGGGCTAGTGATTTAGTTTTTAAAAAAATATTTTTTATTGATTTTTAGAGAGAGAGGAAGGGAGAGGGAGAAAGAAACATCCATGCGAGAGCAGGGCATCTATTGGCTGCCTCCTGCACGCCCCTACCAGGGATCGAGCCTGAAATCCAAGCAGGTGCCCTGACAGAGAATTGAACCAGCAACCTTTTGGTGCTCAGGACGATGCCCAACCAATTGAGTTTTTCTACAGGCCTTTATGTACAATTGTGTATCTGTTTTATTGGAATTAGAGATATCTCCAGGCATCAAAGTGACTCCTGGTTATTTATCTTTCTTATACAAATAAAAACATAGGATATATATATGTATATGTGTGTACACACACACACACACACTGTTCTCTACACTTTTTTTAAAAGCAAACAATATCCTATAGGTTGTTCCAAGCAGCACAGAAAGACCCACCTCACTCTTTTTGACAATTTGAGATCCTTGCAGTAGTAGTTTTGGGTCCAACAGAGGCTGCCATCAGATGTTGCCAAACTGTCTTCAAAGAGTTTGCGTCAATTATGCACGCGTGCACTGGTGGAGAGGGTCTGTCGCCTCACACCAAGGCCAGTGTGGGTATTTTCTGGCTTCATCTCCTAATCTAATATGTGAAAATCATAGTGTTTTACTTCTTATTTATGGATAAGTGCGAGCATACAGATGCATTTTTTAGCTTTATTGAGATATAATTGACACACGAAATTTAATGTATCCATCTTAATAAGTTTTGCATTTGTTTTGAAAACAGTTTTCAACTGCTCCAATTCCTGCTTTAGTGTGTATGTATTAAAAACATGTTTATTGCCATTGTAGGCTCTTGAGGGTGTGATTTAGCAAAGTCTATTCAAAACTAAACTTTATTTGAACTTTAAGCCATCAAAGTGACTCCTGGTTATTTATCTTTAACAAAAACATAGGAGGTGTATATATGCATATAATACACACACACACACACACACACACACACACACTGTGGGGGAGGAAGAAATTTTCCTCTACCTTCAAGGTTCTTTCAGCTGGTTTAATAATGGGCATCAGACAGATTAATAGGAGAAAATAACCAAATGTCTTTTGAGTTTGGTCCAGGTTCCCGCCCCACCCGACTATTGCCACTTTCCACTTTCTATCATTTGCATACATATGTACCTGCATACATGAGACCCCAAATGCATGAGATTCAGAGACAAAGGAAAAATGAGCATAGACAGTCCAAGCGAGGGATGAGGTGAGGTGCCTTAGGGGCTTCAAGGTCTTTGCAGGATGATGGAAGAGCAGATGCTTAACAAATAGAAGTTTGCCCTGTCCTACAAGCAGGCGAAGTTACCTCAATTTCTTATTATGCACAAGCCCCCTAATTCAAGTCATAGGAAGTCAAGGGAGGAACACAAGTTTCTCGTGGGCTGGAGGCTCAAGTTGCCTTTAGCTCAAAACAATCTCCATACCTCAGAGGCACATCTTGGGGTGACTCGTTCTGAACCCCTACAATGCATACAGGTTCATATAAATGTATGAACATACGTACACATATATAAAAGAATGCTTAAATCTAATAATTGTGGTAAATCTGGAAGCAACCTGAACACTCATCAATATGAAAATGTTTCAATACATTTTACTTTCCTTATGAATTGCTATTTTAAAAATGAGTGATATTTGATGGGATTGTCAACTCAGCCTCTGTGAGAACAATTTGTCACTATCAATCGAAACGAAATTTCAACACGCCCTTTATTTTTTTTATAAGAGAGCTCTTTATTTTTTTGTTAATCTCACCCGAGGACATTTTAAATTGATTTTTAGAGAGAGTGAAAGGGAGGGAGAGAGACAGAGAGAGAAACATAGATGCGCATTGGTTACCTCCCGCACATGCGAGTGGAACCCGAGATGGAGTCTGCAATCGAACACGGAATTGACCGGCTACGTTGACGGGCCCACGCTCAATCCACCGTGCAAACCGGCTAGGACTTCACCCGCCTCTTAACAAGTTACTCCACTTCAACAAATGTATCCTCATGCATATGCATCAAAAAGCATTGCTAAGTATTAAAAAGTGGAAGCCTCGCGCTCCGCCAGGCCCTCTGCCCCCAGGTCCACTCCCAGGGGTCCTCACCGCCGCAGCTCCGGCCGCCCAGCTGGACCTTGTTTCCCAGCCCCGCCTTCCAAGACTCTCGATCTGCTCCCTGGCCTCAGCCAGCCTTTCGGTCCAGGCCCCGGTCTAACCCCGGCTTCGGCCTGGTCACCACCCCCGCCCCGCCCCCGGGCCCTCGTCACAGCTCCAGTCACGCCTTCTTGGCGTGATCCCCACCCCCGCCCCGCCCCCGACCATCGTCACCGCCCCAGCCATGCCTCACGGATTGGTCCCCGCCCCCGACCATCATCGCCGTCCTAACCACGCCTTCCGGATTGGTTCCCGCCCCCGACCATCGTCACCGCCCCAGCCATGCCTCACGGATTGGTTCCCGCCCCCGACCATTGTCACCGCCCTAACCACGCCTTCCGGATTGGTTCCCGCCCCCGATCACCGTCACCGCCCTAACCACGCCTTCCTGATTGGTCCCGCCCCCGATATCGTCACCGCCCTAACCACGCCCCTCGCGTCATCGCGGCCCAGCCTCGCCGGCCAGCTTAGTTCTGGTTTGAAATTGAAGGCTCTTTGGCGGCCGGGGCAGATCTCCGGCAGGGACTCCCCCGCGTTCGCTCAGAAGGAAAGCTAACACTCTCCACCGGCTACCCGAGCCGTGGCTACCTCCCAGCTGGCACCCCACTCCCCCGCCTCCGGGGGCGCCTCCGGGGCGAGTCCCGGAGTTCCCTTACCCCGAAGGGGAAATGCGAGTCGGCGGGGTCATGGCCACCCTTTCGGACCTGCCGGACTCGGTCATATTGGAGATCTTCTCTTACCTCCCGGTGCGGGACCGGATTCGCCTCTCCAGGTGCGGCCTCGCCCCGCGGTGGGGCCGGGGCGGGGCGGGAGCAAAGGGCCAGGCCGGGTCGGGTTGCTCTCACGGCGGTCTCCCCCCCTCAGGGTCTGTCACCGTTGGAAGAGGCTGGTGGGCGACCGATGGCTGTGGCGACACGTCGACCTGACCGTCTGCAGGGTGAGTGCGTAGGCCGGGCGGGCCTGGGCCGGTTCAGCCGAGGCGCCCGGGGCGCACCCCCACTCCTCTGCGCCCTCCGGCCTGTTCCCCCATCTGCAAAATGTAAATAGCCGGACAGCACGGGGATGGGCTCAGTGTCGGAGTGTCAGTCGGCGTACGATCAATGCTGGCTGGCGATCAGATCACTTAGGATTATTATTACCGAGTCTTCACGGGGAAATCATTTTCCACAGTCAACAGAATTAACTTCCCGAGTAGTGCAAACAAACTATTTCCACTTTCTGTCATTTGCATTTTACTTTTCTTGTTTTTATTATGAACTATTTCATATATAGAAATGTGTGGAGGATAACATGGTTTCAGATAAATAGGTACTCACCACCTACACTTAACCTCTTTTAGGCTTTGGCCGTATTTACTACCGATCATGTGAAATATATATATATCTTTTATTGATATGTTTCCTGCACTTTTTGAAACCCCCCTCGGAGGTAACCATATTCTAAAATGGAATCGTAGCCTTCCTTTGGCGTTTTCATTCATTTCCTATGTGTGTGCCCATTAGCAACATACAGTATTGTTAATGTGTTTCTAAAGTTTAGATAATGCTATTGCTACTCTTTAGATAATTAAATGCTATTTTACTTATATCCACCCACAATTAGCTTTATCCACACACTATTTTTTAAAGATTGATTTGAGAGAGAGAGAGAGAGAGAGAGAGAGATCTATATAATAAAAGCCCAGCAACCAGAACGGCAGAATGAGGGGTGGCTATGACACCGCACTTGCAGCAGCCAACGATCGCCCTATCG